TTACAATTTTTTACCGCTGCGCGCTTTGTAAATTGTGTTTATTTTTATTTTTATTTTTTGCTTCTGGTTTGTGTTGTGTTGGATTTGTCGATTGGAACGAATGGCACTCGTTGGGCCCGCGTGGATGGTGTGGGAGTTGGCTTCCTAAACAATTCGATTTATGGCTTAATAGAGTTGCAAGCCGCGCGCGCGCCCGGCGAGTGAATAAAGCGCGCGTCCTCGTAAAATACACGCGGAAATCGATAAATCTTGCAAGCTTGAATTTGCAAGTGATTTCGGCTATTTAGACTCTGACATTGAGTCATTTAGCAAACGCTGCAGTTCAAGATTCCGCATTCAACGCGTCGAAAACTAAACAATCGTTGCTCAACTAGTTCTCTTTTGTGTATTGTAAGTTGTAACTTTTCACCTTTATAAATATTTATGTTGCATCATAAATTTCCACCGACGCGAAAATAAAGTTTTTTTTTTTTCGTTGAGTGCAAAAATGAACCGTGAACAAAACAAGTTTGCGGCTTATCGTCTGCGAAGGAAACACAGCGAAGCGCAGGAGATCGAAGAGATCGCGAAAGAGTGTATTGCGTTGCTCTGACGAGCTGTACGTGGAGAATTCCGGGAAAGTTCGGCGGAATGTTCGACAGCAAATGAAGAGGAAGTTTAAGCCGACGCGTAAAACACGAAACGCATCCATGTTTGTGCGGGGATGAGAATTAAGCAATGTGTTTACGATCGGCGCTAATCCATCAGCGGAAGCCATTGTTCTGCAGGAATTTATCTTGTAATACGGCTACATATATACCCGGACATACCACATACAACTTTTAATGAGGATATTTTGCTCTTTTCTTTTATTTCAAATGGCATTTATTACAATGAGAAAAAATAAAATTTTGTTTTTGGAGATTTTCTGTGATTTTCTTCTTGGATTTCAACAAATTTTTCGTCATTTTCAAGCTGATTAGTGTCTTTTTTTATTAACGTTTATATATGAGATTAAAAAAGCTTGGAATTATCTTAAAATTGCTTTAATTTTTAAAAAGTTCGGTTTTTTAAATATTTTTCAATATAAAAATTATAATATTTTGCATGATTATGAACACCCTGTACATATATTTTCATATTTTTTTTACGGTGAATAATAGAAGAATTCTTAAACTATAAAATAACAAAAAAATTGTTAAAATCGGAGTTATCAATAAAAAGATACGATGAGTTTTCTATGACGTTTTTTAAAAATTTGCAAAAATTTCAACTTTTTCCAAAAATTAAAAGCAATTTTTCATCATTTCTGGCGTTTTTATATGTACAAAAAAATGGCAAATGATAAAAGCACTATTCAGCTACAAAATGATCAAATTTCACAAAAATCCACCGAAAATTTCAAAAGTTACAACAAAAAATCCGAAAAAATACAAACCTCAAGTGAGCCAAGTCAGTCGCAGGTAATTTAATTAAACTTCCAAGGTGGTAGTGGTGCTTGAAACAATGAAAAAGCAATTTACTTACGCTCGCAACACGCGTTATTTGCGCGCGTCCGCGTCAAGTAAAAACTAGCGTTTGATTTTGCGCGGCGCGTCAACTCGATCAAACAAGACAAAATGAGGCGAAACGAAGCGAACAAATGGGGAGGTGACACAAGAAGTTGCTGTCGCTGCACACGGCGATTGCAGCCGGAAGTGCAGATTCGTTGCAGGTTTTCCTCCGTGCGTGTGCGCACACAAACGAAACTTTGACGACGACAGGGACACGACTAACTAAACTCGAATCGAGTTTAGTTCGGCAACAGTTTCCCAGCCATGTTTTACCATCGACAGCAAACAACATTCAAAGTTGTTGCAAAGAGTTTTGACACACCACACCTGCTATTCAAATTGCTTTCATGTTTCTCATGTGAACTCATACAGCACGTATAACAATTCATGATTTGCACACGAATAGCGCTGGATATATTTATATTTATGTGGATTATAATGTTTATCACAGCGGCGCATGAAAGAGTCGCGCGGTGCGCCGAACGTGTATTTATTACCGATAAGATTAAATCTGGGTCGAGTAGCCACTGCCGGCCGCACGATGTGTAATTTCGAATAAAATTGCGTATAATTTCGTGCTGCGGCGAATGACCCTCGGAAAACCAACGACCAAAAACAAGCTCACATATCGAGATATCCGAATGTGATAACGTTATGAATAAATAAACATTGAATGAAATCCATTTATAAGTATAACGAAAGTTTTGAGTAAAATAAAAATAAATTCGTCTTGTTAAAATTTTGTTAAGTACACAATTGTTATGCTGAGGCTTGTTTCTTGGAATAATCTAATTGATCCCAGAGAAACGCAATGTCAACAAGCAAAAGATTAAAAGGAAAATGATTTATGACTTGGATTTCTTTTTTGTAACATGAAAAGTAACTTTTTTTACTTCAAATTTTTAAATGCCAGTTATTCCACGTTTTTAGACACTAAAAGTCGTACTTTATACACGGATGACCAAAACGGTGAGAAAAGTACTTTAGTCACGGGCTTTAGTCACGGGGTGGAGCTTGCACCTGCGCATTTGCCTACGGTGCACCACCAGACGACCATATAAAATGTCACGCGTCGTCAGCCAAACAAATCAAAACATTTATAACCTTACATTTCCCAGTAGTATGCGAGCAACTTTCAAAGTTTTAAAATAAAAAGCTCATATACAAAAACAAAACGTGGAAATAAAGTGAAAGTAGAAAAAATAGCGTAAGCATCACATGACTAAACGCTGTTAAACACTCGATTGATTAAACGCTCGCTACGCCCTCTCATAGTCAATCACGTGACTAAAACTTCCATTTAACCACTTGATACTTAATATACGATCAATTTTAAGTAGATATTTTGAATATTAAATACAATATATTATCATAGATGCATTGATATAGTTTGATTTAACACGACTGTTGTTTTCCTGCCAAATTTCTCACACAATGAAACTGCACCGGTCTATAATTTCCAATTTATATTCTAATCAACCGTATTGTTTCCCGCTGCGCGGTCATTAAGCGTGAACGTAACAATTTCATATCCTCAAATACGAAATTTACGAAATATTTACAAATAAATATTAATACAATACTATCAAATTAAATCTATAATATAAAAAAGAATCGCAAAATCTGTTGGTAAGCGCATAATTCAACAACGCGCAAACCAATTTGACCAATTATTTTTTTAATATGTTCGTTTAAGTCCAAGGATGGTTTTTACGACGAGAAAAATTCAAATAATTGCCGGGAAAACCCTTAAAACAGCCCTTTTCTATAGAATTAAAGTTGGCATTGAGATTCAATCAGAGTTATAGTTAAATAGTTGAATCCGAGATGGCGCGCTGAAGTGAATTATAAGCAATTCTTTATATATTTAATTTCTTTAAAATAAAATTACGAATCTTATTCATAGAATTGACACATACTATGTCTAGAACAAGAGAGTAAAAACGAATTACATTTTTATTAAACACTATCTGGACGAATTCGCTGACAAAAGCAATTTAGATTACAAATAAATATTATTACCATAATTTAAAATAAATTGAATTCAATATAAAAGATACCAAACAGATTTTAATTTTGTTTTGCAGTGTTTTGTAGTAATACCAATTTGTAATTAATTATTGAAATCCAACTGATAATGCATCGGTCTGATTCAATTAAACGTGTAAATATATCAATTTATCTCGCAATATTCCCGCTGTGTGTATGTATGCAGCTTGTTTTTGTTTTGTAAACAAGTGCAAAATTCAATTCGGTCCTCCTTTATTCCGTATCGAATCCTCGATGGACTGCTCTCCATTGAATACGTGTTGCCAGCGCGCGGATCAGTTTCGCAGCTTGACGCTATCGCATCTTAGTGACCTCGTTCTTGCCGCCCCACGTTGGCGAACGGTCGAGTTGTTTCCGCTTCCGCTCGACGCACTCGAGCGCGTCGAATAAAAGAACTTCCACGCGTATTGTGTGCAAGCCAAGTCTTCTATAAACACCTGCCCGCATTCGCGACACGTCTAATCCAATTATAATGAAAACGAAATTCGCAGCGCAACGGGTCCGAAGAGACGCGGTGAATCAAATGAGACGACGTAAATGTGCGTTGGGTTGCGGTAACGACCTATGACAGATATAATTGCGTCAACTATATTATTACTTGTGTCTCGATCGAATTTATCATTGTTAACGGCTGAAGGTCTGGAGTTCATCAGTAATCCTTTTGATAATCTTGCAGCGTCAGCACGCGCATCGACGACGACAAAAAATGTCGTAATTACTTTTCGTAATTAATTTCGTCCGTCGGCGAATTCCGATGCTCATGTTGTTTGTGATCGGAATACGAAAAAGTCGAAAAAATATTTACTCAATTCCTATCAGTAGGAAAAAACAATTACGCGTGCGGATCAATAAATTAATTGACTTTTTCGCGCGCGCATTTAATTTGTTTAAACTTTTCATGTTTCATCAAAATTTACACGCTTAACTTCTAAATTCTCCGCTCTCTGGAGAACTGGCATGCATTGCGTAATTAAAACGCAATCTAGAGTTAGTGCACTTTAACGACGACTGCCAAACGCGGTTGTCATTTGTCCACGTCATTACGAATTTATAACCTATATTTTGCGCTCGCGTTTGACTCGCTGCTCGGCGACATGTTTAACGCAGTGCAGAAACAAATTGCGAAATAATTGCGAGATTTATATGTTTGTTTAGCATCAATTTCGGCCACGACGGTGCACACAACAAGCTTACACAGTCGAAATGCAAATATAAGTACACGAAAACGCGCGCTGCACTTAAATTACGCGCGGTGAAATTGATTTCAATGCAATCATTGCAATAATAATGCGCGTTATCAGTTTACAGTGTGCGGTGTCACAGTGTCACGCAACTGATATTTTACAACAACAAATTCCACGCACCAAATCGTTTTAGTTAATTGGAAACTAAACCTACACAAATTTAACATACAATATGTCTGTGGAAAAATAAAAATTTTTATTATTTGTTAGTATATTAAGTATTAAGGGGTTAAACAGGAGTTTTTGTCACGAAATTGATTGAGGGTTAGTGTAGCGAGCGTATAATCAATCGAGTGTATAATAATGTTTAGCCACGTGAAGCTTACTCTGTTTTTTTACATTCACTTTATCTCCACGTTTTTTTTTCCACCCCGTGACTAAAGTACTTTAGTCACACCCTTGGTCATACGTGTTTAAAGTACCACTTTTTATATCTCAAAACCGTGGAAAACCGTGGAAAACCGTGGAAAAATTACGCTTTAACGGTAGAAGTAAAAAAAAGAATGAAAAAATTCAAAATTTACAAACAAAACCAAAAATTTAAATAAATATCTTTGAACATATTGTATACATGTTTCTACTATTAACTGACGCGTATCTTAACGACCCTTTGAACGACGCTACGTGTTTGCTAACTGGGATTTAGTTCGACAAAATGGCGACCGTACAAAATCAAAATAAAAACTCCCTTCAAATCTATTCTAACAAAAAAAAAACACAATAAAATATTTTTATCAATAAGTGACATCTTTAAGTTTAAGCCTTAGCGGATCCCCAATACCATACAACATCTTCTGCACAAACTTCATATCTTTGTGTGGCCATTCAAGCACAAAGTTTCTCACCATCTACAAAAAAAAACCCAACAAATTAAATTTGATGTTATTTGCTTTATATACATACCTTAGCAATGAATATTTCCAATTCCAAATTCGCTATCCGCTTGCCAACGCATGCCCTAGGCCCGAACCCAAAAGGTAAAGTAACAAATGGATTTACAACCTCTTCTTTCACGCTCCTATCCGCCGGACATTTCTGACCCACCCAGCCACGCAGCCATCGTTCAGGCAAATATTCCTTCGGGTTGGTGTAGTGTTCCGCCACATTCGAGAGGTACATGTGCGGCAAGTTAATTTCAGTGCCCGCCGGGACGCGATACCCTCCAATGACCATATCCTTGGGCGTCCAACGAGCCGTGCAGTGAGCGACCGGTGCAAGCCGCATTGATTCTTTGATGCAAGCGCGAAGATATTTGGCTTCATCGAGGAGTTCAGCCGTGACGGGCGTGTGTTTCGACGGCAACAGGGAAAGCAACTCATGGCGTAATTTTCTCTGCGCCCTCACATTCTTGGAAATGTAGTACAGCGTTGAACCGGAAACCAAAGAAGTCTGAAAGATATATTTAACCTCAAAAAAATACATTTGAGGTTATGTTATACGCACAGTTTCCACTCCGGCGATAATCATATCCAGAGTCATCACAACAGCGAATTTTTTATCTTTTTCAACTAATTTCTCAAACACAGTCTTTTCATGATCTGGTTTAAATTGATAATTGGGATCTTCATCCATTTTACGTTTAGCGTTATCAAACATTTCCAGAATTAAACTAAAATTTTATGTTTTACATTTTACGCTATTGAATATATAGGCTTTTTTATTTACTTTGTAAAGAACTCATGGTTGCCTATGTAGCGCTTCCACAGTGGCGTGTTCAGCGTTCTGTGAATTTTTCCAGTTGACAGAATGTCCATAGGCAGCGTGAGGTAGAACATGTCCAGAATATGTTTGATGGCGTCCATGGCTTTCGGACTCGCATTAGAAGAAAAGCAGCGCATGCGATGGTTGACGGCAATGGCCGTCACCGATTCAAAGACGAATTTGTTTATATCGTCCATAAAGTTGTGCGGCATCAGACCTAGCAAATCGCGGCTTTTGAGCTGTTTAACGTACTCGAGAAACTCGTCGGCGATGTCATTCACGAGCGGGATGTAGTTATTCGTGCTGCGAGATTGCATCAGAATTGAGTTTGCTATTGCACGTGTATTACCCCATTCTTCACCTTGTCTACGAATATATTTCAATAATAAAATAATATAAAAATAAAAAAATAATAAAAATAATAAGATTACCCGTTCATTAAACCATAAGTTTGTCCAAAAACATCCTTTCGCATAACGTGACGATAATAAGACATTGACTCAAAGTTGAATCTTATTGGATAGAGGCCTTCGTTACGGAAAACAAACTCGATATCTTTAACGTTGTATAAATAGAGTAAATGCCATCCGGGGGCCATGTGTTTGATATAAACAATATCGCCATACTTTGATCGCATTCTGGGATGATAATATTATATAAATAAAAAAATATTCACTGTTTTTACTGCTTTCAAAGTAAATTTTAAAGAAAACATATTTGTCTACTTCCACCAAATTTTTCTACGATTTTAAGACACAAAAAGTGGTATTTTGAACAAGGTCGTGACTAAAGTACTTTATTCATGGGCTTTAGTCACGGGGTGGAGCTTGCGCATGCGCATTTACCTACGGTGCAGCACAACACCCTATGAAATGTCATACTCTGCTGTTTCTCATGTCAGCGCGGCACTACATTTATAACCTTACATTTCTCAGTTGTATACAAGCAAATTTCGAAAAATAAAAAAAAAGTTGAAATACAAAAACTAAACGTGGAAATAAAGTGGAAGTAGAAAAAGTAGTGTAAGCATCACGTGGCTAAACGTTATTAAACACTCGATTTATTAAACGATTGCTATGCCCGTGACTAAAACTCCCGTTTAGCCAATTGATACTTAACATACTATTTTGTTATTTGTTTTTGTTTATTGACTTACTCTTGGTTAAACTTTTTCCCATCCCAATTGACAAGTCGCCACGCATTACCAATAACTGGCAGAGGTTTCGGCCCTGGAATTGATTCAAACGGCTTGGCTTTGTCCCAATTGATATTTTGTTTTTCTTCAAACACCGCTTGTGTTTGTATTTGCGTCGTCGCGGTAGTTAAACTACGAAGTCGAAATGGAAATTGAAAGCGTTTGTCACGCAAAAACTGTAATGTTGTTCGGTACATTCTCAATAATATACTCAATAACAAATAAAAAATAATATGTTATTGACTGCTTGTTATACAATCAACAACAATAATAATAATAATAATAAAATAGATATAAAAGTTCATTGTATTTAATTATCAGTGATAAGATTTTTTTCTTTTCTTTTTCTCTTATTTTTTTTTATTCTAAAAGAAGTAAATGTAAATTAATTGAAATTAAACCGCTTTCTTTTTCGTTTTTATGACGCAATTTAATTTTCCGAATCAACCCCCAAAACCTAGGGCTGCTCGGGCCTTTGAAACTGCCGCTTCTTCAAAAGAAAGACATTCGGATGCAAATCATATAGGACAGCGCCATAAACGCTCGCTTTATTGCACAACAAATTGCACGAAACGCGTTGCAATGTTCCACTGGAATTGGACCAATATAATCGCCCCAAATTTAGTGAATGAAACGAATAAAACCTTCAAAAATAACCTAAAAACCATAAAAAACCATTCTCTTTTAAAACCACGCTTATTCATTAAAGATTCACCCGCAACTGACGAATTTCTCATCGAATCTCATGACAATATCACAATATGGTGCGCAGGCAGCTATCAAGTGTTGATGTTTGTCGAAACTATTAGAAGGCGGGCGCGGACGCGCTGAGGAGGCAAACATTCGCGTCCGCCGCGAAACGATAACCGCCACCAGTTGCCCCACGGATTATTGCGCGGCCTCCATGGACGGCGGTTAAGCGGTTAGCGCTTGCACCCATCCAACTTCAGCTGTCCACCGCCCCCAACACACACACACACACACAGTGAGCTAATGTTTGCGTCGCTCAAACAGCAAATATTGGGTCTCGTCATCTCGCATCGCCGAAATTCAATCCGACCGCTGAATAAATGCCGAAATCATAAAAGATACGGCGCCATGAAAAGATAATGGAATAGTGGTTAATATATCGTGGGTTTCTAGTAGGTCTAGGGTCGTGTCGAAATTGATTCGACGTCATCAATTCCTTTGTTTATTTCTTTTCATAAAAACGTGATTTTTTCTTATCTTGCTATCTGATCCTCAAATATATACAGTTGGTATCAGAATGTTGCAAATTATGTACGACTTGTAGCAGTAGTAGGAGGGAATAAAACTAGTTTTTTGTTGTATTGTGGTTAAGGGTGGCACTTTGCAACCGCGAAACATGACGCTAGTTGGCCGTTAGGTTTTAGTGGCGGCGGGGGCGGCACTTAACGTTGGAATTGTTTCGTTAATTGCTTTCGCAAAGTGGACGGCGGTCGACACTTGTGCGCAACGACTTTCACAACCAGTTTTCCATCTGCTAGCAGAAACCCGCCAAAGCTGCGTTTCTTAGAACAAGGAAGAAAAATCATTTCAACTTCCAAGAATACTCATGCTTTTATTACGCAACATGTTTATTAATTTTCTATTGCCATCAAATATATTATATTAATACAAGAAATAAGGAAATAAATATTTTGCGCGTTATTAATTTTTATCCATCATCATGATCGTAGTGATGTCGTAATGCATTAGTGAAAATTCCGGGAAGCAATCCGAGAGCGATGTAAAGTTTAGTTTCACACACGCGCGATGCTCGAGGCGGGATAATTTATAGTTCGGGCCGAAATCCCTCAAAACCACACGCGTGGATCATTAGAAAGTTTTAATAGGTGCGCGTGCACAGTGCATCTAACCTATACCTTCCGCATCAGACAACAACAGTGCTCTGATCGCATTATGCAACTTAATATACACCATAACCTCAGACTTCAAACGCATCAAAAACTACTCGTAGTTGTAAACTTTCACAATTTTTTCTACTTTCAAATTTTAAACGCCAGTTTTTCTTAGGTTTTAAGGCACGAAAAGTAACATTTTAGTCATGGGCAACACCGTGACTAAAGTTAAAATTCTGGAAATAGAAAATATTGAGTATTAAGGGATTAAAAAGGAATTTTTGTCAAAAGATTGATTTAAAGTCAATGTAGTGTGCGTTTAATCAATCGAGTGTTTAATAAGGTTTAGCCACGTGATGCTTAGGCTATTTTGTCTACTTCTATTTTATTTCCACGTTGAAGTTTTTGTATTTGAACTTTTGAATAATAAATCTTCGAAATTCGCTCGCATACTACTGGAAAATGTGATTAAAATACTTTAGTCACGACCTTAGCCATCCGTGTTTAAAATACCACTTTTTATATCACAAAACCGTGAAAAACTGACGCTTTAAATGTGAAATTAAAAAAAAATCGATTGATTAATCACTCTCGGGGTTAAACTGCCACTTAGCACACAAGATACTTAAAATATTATAATCACAAAATATAAAAAATATAATTGGCAATATATCAAACGTATGTGTCCCTCGCATCGGTATGAATAAAGAAGCGCCTATGAATAAATTCCGTTAACCCCACAAGCCGGCCCGCAAAATCGCCGCGTGATGAATATCCATAATTTATTCTTTGCGGACCCTCACCATACAGCGTAATTCGTATAAAATCACTTATAAATCACTCCCATACACATAGTCTACGTCTACCAATCGCTTATAACGCTGATATTGACACTAAAGTATTGAAAAATTGCACCGGATTTAATTCGGAGCGCGATTTTAAGCTCTCTCGCTGATCCAATAATGGAATTGTGCGCGAAATATTACGCTTGTCTTTTCATGTTATAGGTTATGTATGTGTGCTGGTGCTGCTGCTGGTGGTGGGCACCGTATGCTTCATAAATATTTACTTAATAAACTCATCGATTCTCGGCCGGAATCAACACAAAACACACATTACGACGCCGTCGTCGCATTGGTCGAAGGACAATAATGCTCCGCGCGGGCCGAAAGTTATCTCGGCGGTTATTTTCTCGGCGTCGGGGCGCTGCGCTGCGATAATAAAGTTATCATTTCTTTTTTGGCTCTTAACTCGCCGCCGCCGAACGCCGGCATAAATCACCAACGTTATTACATCACAATGCCGAGTCTCTTTTCGGACTGTCAAGGACATTTAACGTAATGCCAGCTCTGCTTTGTGGACGTTGGGCTGCTGCTGCGGTTTGTGTGCCAAGTTGAGGATTCCGCTTCTTACTTTACATTAGTTATTTCTAGTTGTTATGACTTACAAAAACACACACCGCACACATTCATAAACTATTCTTTTCTTCCAGTTTAAATTAAATTAAATTTTTTCATATTTTTACAAAGATTCAAGAATTTAAAGTTTTATTTGACTTTCGTATGAGATAAGATCAAATCAAATACGACGTAGACTGTGTTTCACGTTATTAAGACTAAGACTTCTTGTGAATTGCATTAAATTGCATCGCATTGCATTAAATCGCATTAAGTCTCAAGTTTTGCGGCTTCATAAGTTAACAAACCACTTGCAGACTTGCAGACATGCAGCGATGAAACATCTTGGAAGATATTACAAACGCTTAAAAATTTAATTTTTAAAGACGAGAATGTCTTCGTTGCAAGTCGGGTAGAATCGCCGTTGTGTGTTAGTGGCACAGGGGGCGGCGAGCTGATATTGGCGGCGGTGGCGGCTCCACCGGCGGCAGTCGCACGTTAACCGGCGCGACAGCCGCATTCACGAAAGTTAAACATTTCGCGGCAAACGCGCTCACGAGTGTCACAATTGTCACAAGAAATTTTAACATTTTATGAAATTAAAATTAATTAATTGTGAAACTAATTACTATATAAACTTTAAAAAATAAAAATAAATTTAGTGTTTTATGTGGGACTCGATTGTTATGGATTAAAATTTGTGTAAAAATTGAATAAGGTAAGAAATTTTATATTAATACGTATTAATATACAGTGGAGGCGCCGGGCAAAGAGCTAAAAATCAATTAAATTGTTGTGTTTTGTTATCGTAAACAAAAGCATTTCCGATTACAAAGTCTGTGAATAACATTTAATTGGTTTGTGCGCCTGTAATTAAGCCTGGCGATTAAAGCGGCTCGGTTATCGCGGTCGCGACATAAAACACGCCAAGAACGCAATTAAGTGTACCTAATTAACGAGCGGGACAAGACCAAAAATACGCGCCGAGCGCAAAGAGTAAAGGAATTAATTCTGCATTAATTTCAGCAAGCGTCGCGATCGATAAATAATCGAACGTTAATGAGCTTTCGCCGAAAGCAACATTAAGCGCATATCGAATTTACACTCAATCGCACTCTAATTGAAAGACCAACAGAAAGTTCATAATGATTTGAAAACATTACGCGCCAAAGTTGTGTAGTTGCGAAATCAAAGAGTTGAATAAAAGTATTTCGCAAGCGCAAATATTTACAGGAAACTGCGCTGATTCAATTCATTTTCACCCATGGAAAAACAAAAAGCGCAGTTAATTAGTGCCAAATGTATGCAATGGAATAAAAAATAAAATTTTATACAACGACAAGATGTATTTTATTTTAATCAATATAATTATTATTTTTAAATTCATCTAAATCTCTATTTCGAGTGATATTGCTTATTTAGTTTGTTTTGTCGTGAGTTCTCTGCGACTAACGACGTCGTTAATACCTAGCATTCGTATGTAACCAGAGCTTTTAGCATCCAACCACGATTCCGCCCGAATCCAACCAGCTTAGACTTGAAGCTTTGAATTTCGCATAATCATAAAATCAACGTGCGTAAAATGTGCGCTTTTAGTACTTGTTTCTTTTTTAGGTATCAGTATTAAGCATAAGCATCCGTGATTGACACTTAAATGTCAATTAAATACAAATAAAATAAAAAATAAATGAGAATTTTTTTTTGTTGAATGTTGCTTGTTAGGTGTAGGAGTATGAGAGGAAAGTGAAATAAAAATAAATTTTAGACAGTTCAGTTGAGGTTTGTGTCCGGGGTTCGGAACGCATCGATTAACGTGCGCGTTTTATTGCCGCACTTTGGATTTATCTCGAATCGGTGGCAGCGTCGAATAGATTTAACTAATTTTATTGTACGCACGTTTAAAATTTATTTGTAGTTTGGTTGATGATAGGGTTTACTGCCCAAGGGCTGTAAAATATTTTTTGTGGATTAATTTATTGGATTTACATTGATTTTTTAGTATTTTATGGCAGAAAATTGATTTTCTCAGGGTGGAAAGTAGTGAAATTAAAATTTTGGCCCTAGGGCCGTAAAAGCAGGTTTGGAAATATTTTATAATCAAGAAAGTATATAAAAATTTGTGTTTTTTACTACTTTTTGGGTAATAAATGCATTTTTTTGAAAAATTAAGCAAAAAATAGGTTTTACAGCCCTAGGGCTGTAAAATATTCATATAAAGCTTTTCTACCATAATAAATAAAGTACTATTTTGGTTAAAATTAAGACAAATCAATTTATTTGCCCAATTTTTCACAAAAAAAGACAAATTTTTCTTCTGACAACAATTTTACGGCCCTAGGGAGGTTAAATAAATTTTCATTTTTCTATAAAATTCAACAAAAATTCCACCTTTAAAAGCCTGTAAAATCCATTTTTCCGCCCTAGTATTTAAAAGATTAACTTTTTCTTTCATAACTCAACATTTTTCACCTTTCAAATTAATTAACCGAATGATTTTGACTAAATTTTGACTTAAGTCAAAACCTATTTCCTGCACGTTGCAAACGCACCGGATATTATACGAGTAACTCGCACACGCAGCTGCTAAACCGGCTCAACCCATTTTTATAATGGAGCGTAATGGACCACCGGGCGATGACTGGAGAGTATCACGGCATAAAGTCCGCAGCTTAGCATTACATATTCAATGAGACGAGATTAAGTTTTCATATTTTTATTCAGGCATCTCGTCGACATATATTCTCTGCTCTGCTCGCTCTCCTTTACATTAAAAATTCCCGGAATACTTCACAACAACGCGAAACCACAAAATACGTCGAATTATTTTTCGGTAATATCCGACATTATGCTCTGAACAAACATTGTTCCCGCAGCACGCAAATATAATTTATGTAAAAATAACTATGGATAAAGAACGAAGTAAAAGTAAGAAAAGGATTTGCATGTCACGTTTTAGCGATGTTGGTCGTGTTGGTTGCCTAGTTGTGAGTATGGTTGCCTGATCGTTATTTTTATTATTATTTCAACGCCGCCCCCGGAAGGGCGAAACTTTCCACACTGCATTTGCATCACATCCAGTGGTAAAAGTGGAAGAACTCACGAGTTGTGTTGCAGTTTTGTGCTTAAACCGCCCACGGGCGCAGGTTTTTATCTTCTCTTCGCACAAGCTTAAAAACTCGCCTGTGCAAAGCAAGAAAAAAGAAGTATAAACTTCAAAAACGTTTTAGGTACGTTTTTCACCGTACACACATTAAAAGTTTGGCGCAGACGATTAAAAATATCATCTCATGTTTAATGCATGACATGGTGATGGTTAATTCAGCAAAGAATGGCGCGCAGAGAGAGTGGAAAATCGATTTAATTTCGAATTTCTCACAATATTAACTCGCCCGGGTCATATCCCGACACATTGCGTTACAATTTCGTTGATAACTCGTCGCTCATCTCACCCGGAAATTGAAAAAAAAAATCAACGCGAATGTAGCTATTGGAATAGGTTCAGTTCACTCTCGGCGGAGCTGTTCGTTCGATTTAAAAATGTTTCATTTCACTGGCCGTCCCCGAGTTCCTATTTCATTTCATTTATCCGAAGAGGTGTACGAAATAGACATATGCTGCCGGCAATTTCAGGTTTTCAGGTTTTCGACTCAAAATGTGTGAAATACGCTACACGCTCAAGCAGATTATCTTGTTCGGAAACTTTTGAAAATTCTTCCACGTAAATTTCATTAAATTTTATACAAGAGAATTGAATTTATTGCATATTTTCCAAAGTGACTTTTATGTAGTTTATGTATCGTTTGGCTGCGATTTGGATTTGCAACCTGCGCGCACTGATTTATAGCCATCTTTATGCGTTTGTTTTGCATGTATTGTGTGTTGCATACTCTGCATAAATAACGGAAATGACGCACGCGTAGCGGAAATGGCGCATCTGCTTCACAGTCCTGTGAAGCTTGCGGTTGCGTTTTATTCCTGCGGGTGCATCCAGAGCGGCTGAAGATGCAATTCGATTTATAAATCCTTTCAGCAAAACTCCGGGTCGGGTCGAATATGTGAAATGTGCGCGCACGGCGAGAGATGTCCCCGGATGTGTGCGGTGAAAGTGGCTGGGTGGCGAAATGAATATTTGCTCTGAATGTTCGGGGGCTTTCAGCTTTCGGGAAGCGAAATGAAGCGAGATGAAATGGGAAAAAATTCTATAGCGTCACGCGTAACTAGCGCAGGAATAACGATGGCACAGATGCAGCAAATCGAATAAAAAAATTATTTTTGTTCAAAAAACACAGAAAAAATATGTTGACATAGCACAGTCTGTACATAACCTCATCTTTCTATTGTCTCGGCTAGTTGAATGTTACGCAATAAACGTAAGTTGCCAGCGGGACGACAATCAATCTTTTCTTTTGGCTTCGTGCGCAAAAAATTACGAGCGCAGCGCTAGGGCTATAAAAACACGCGCACGTGTCTCATTAATTTGAAAAATTCTCATTAATTTCGTAACGTATTGCGGCAATTTTTCAGCGCGCGCAAAGTAAAACTGCACATTGGGTTGCCTACTCAGCAGCCCCGGCAAGTTAGCCGGCTATAATAAATATGAATATTTAATGAAAATACGAGAAGCAAACATTAATAAAACTCGCAACTCGAATGCATGCATGAAATTAACGAAATTCAGACGTGTGCACTACTCAAAATTAAATGAATAATTAACATTAACGAACGACAACTTTACCACCGCGAGGTTTACAGATTTCTGTAATTTATGTACTCGCTAATTAAGATTTCATGTTTTTGTTTGGCAATTGAAGGTGCTTGTTGATGTTTAATTTGGAAATTTACCCAAATTGTAATTTAATCAACACCGCCGGTGAGAGATGGAGCGATGATTAATGAAAATGCCAAGTGAATTATTCCTCTTGACGGCGTGGCGGCGGCCATTTCGGAATGATACACGTATATTTATGTACTCGTAATTTTAATTAAGGAGTTGCAGAGTTGGGCGAGTTGGGGATACAGATTTGGATTTAGATTTGGCCATTCGGGGGGTCTGGGGGTGGTGTGGGTCGTCGTTATCCCAGCCGACATTGGAAATTAACGCGTTGATATTACATTCTCGCCTGAATGCTGCCGCTGCACAAAATATATATAACAACTCGTGGAGATACGCACGAAAACCGCTGGGGCGTGTGATTTGTTACACCAAATACACGCATATTTATGAATTCCTAATTGTGTGCTGGTTTTATCTGTGAAACGACTCGAGTATTGCTAACCTTACATGACACAGACATATTCATCATTAGAAGTCATCAGAAATTGCAAAAAAGTGTTGAACGGTGATTTTTTGCTTATTTTTTGTTAAAATTTGTCAAAAATCAAAGAAAATGATAAAATATAGTAATATATTTTATGTTTTCAATTTATTTTAAGTATTACTCACGATTTTCACGAGTTTTTAGTTGTTTTTTTGAGAATTATGAACATTTTGAGCTTATAATCACTTAAAAAAGTTGTTTTTATATTTTTAACACTAGAATACGACTTCATTTTGTCAAATAAGTTGTTTTATAACAACTTACAACTTAGTTTCTTTTTTTTATCTTAATAAAACCATTTTTAACCTATAATTTATGTTTTAGTAAGCAAAACTCGACTAAAATAAGTTTTAATCGTAGGCAACTTAATGATCACTACACTAGCGCCCTCTAAAAATAC